GGGAGAGAGGGAGAGAGGGAGAGAGGGAGAGAGAAAGAGAGAGAGAGAGAGAGAGAGAGAGAGAGAGAAAGAGAAGGAGAAGGAGAAGGAGATAGATTGCTGTGAATAAAGTCCTGAAAACTGCTGCAAGAAGAGCTCCGGTGTTGTGTATTTCCTTGCGGGTCAAGGTGGGGCGTGACACTCTTGTTCACTGCTGTGTACTCCATACAAGCCGGCCCATCAGCTTCTGGGGTTCTCCTCTCTCTGCCTCCTATCTCACCTCGTGAGCATGGAGATTATAGTTGTGCCCTCCGCTGTCTGGCTTGTATGTGGATTCTGGGGATTTGAACTCAGATCCTCCTAACTGCACAGCAAGCTCTTTATCACTGAACCATCTCCGGAGCCTGCATTATAAAGAGTCTATATGAATTAAAATTCAGTCCTACAGAGCGTTCCAAAAGTGGAACCCTGTTACTAGCATTGCCAAATAACAAGAAGAAAAAGGAAGGCACAGGGAGGTCGGGTCATTTGCCTGAAGTTACTCAGAGCCACAGCTGCAGCCCAGGCCCGTCGGCTGCAAGAAGAGTCTTGCTCTTAACTGAAACGCAGCTTTGGTCCCCGTGCTTTTCTTGCTCAGAGGGCCAGTCATGATCTGGGTAGTGTCTGCCCTTCCTGGCAGGATGGGGTCTGCAGCAAGGTGGGCATCCTGACAGGCGGTGCAGGGAAGGGCTTCTCATTCTTGCCCCAGCTGTGTGCCCAGGGCTCAGAGGAGCCTGCCCTGAGATAACCCAGACTGCGGCTATGTGTGGGTGTCCATGGTGAAGCCACTGGAGGTTGAGCAGAGCAAAACTGGTTGCTTTCTGCTACATCCGGGAGAGCTGCGGAAGCTGGTTGGCTTCAGAGGGGAAATTCTGCAGGAGAAGGTTCTGGGAACCCAAGGGTTCAGTTTGAAGACCTGTGCCAGATGGCTCTCCACTCTTCAGGCTAGGACTTCCTTTCTCTCCCATCAAGTGGGGCCAGAGGGCTTCCAGAGAACAGGACCCACGTGAGACGCCAGCAGTGGCTTTCCCATGGTGAGAGTACCGCCTTCTCTTGGATTGCTGTAAGGTATCCACCATAACCAATTCATTGTATTTACAGTTGAGATAGCTTCCTCTAACACACATGACAGCAGTTAAAAATAGAGCAAGAGAGAGATCAGAAACCAGAGAGGGGAAGGCAGGAGGCCACGCTATCAGGAACTTGAGGAATGAGGATCTACTCAAATGTCAAATTTAGTTTGAGTTTTCTGGCACCCCGAGAAAAAAGGAGGGACACCCTCAGTTTCCTGTGGTTAGGCTTTCAATAAAGAAGGGCATTGTTGGGCTTTGAGGAAGGTGGCATTTTCTTAGGCGGAGAGATTTACAGTGACAACAAAACAAGTTAAGGGCATGAGGATCTGGGCCAAGCTGGATGTTTACTGACTGTGGCCTCCTATAGAGACAGAGTGTCCTTGTTAATGGTGAGACTAATTGTCCTGGGCTGCCGTGGAGACCAAAGAGGAGAACAGAAACACACTTACTGGTCCATGGCAGCATCTTGCATAGGAAAGGCATAAACTGCACTCTTGTCCCCCATACGGACCCATTTAAGACTTTTTCTATGTTTGTTTGCACGTGTGTGGGAGAGAGATGGTGGTGAGGGCGTAAGCGTGAAGTTCGGAGGAAGGTTTTGGGAGTCCTCCCTTTGCACCACGTGAGTCTGAGGATTGACTCAAGTTGTCAGGTTTGGTAGCAACTGTCTTTACTCCAATTACAAGACAGCTTTTTTTTTTTTTTTGAGGCAGCTTTTTAAAAACAAAACAAAACAAAAACCAACAAGGTGTCCTGGGTAGTTTTATGTCAACTTGACACAAGCTAAAGTCATCAGACAGGAGGGCGCCTCAACTGAGAAAAAACGCCTCCATAAGATCTGGCTGTAGACAAGCCTGTGGGGCATTTTCTTAATTAGTGATTGATGGAGGAGGACCCAGCCCATTGTGGGTAGTGCCATTCCTGGGCCCGTGGTCCTGGCTTCTATAAGAAAGCAGGCTGAGCAAGCCAGGTGAGCAGCAGCCCTCCGTGGCCTCTGCGTCAGCTCCTCCAGGTTCCTGTCCCGACTTCTACGATGCTCAACAGTACCGTGGAAGGGTGAAACCAAACGAACCCTTTCCTCCCCAAGTTGCTTCAGTCATGGAGTCTCGTCACAGCAATCGTAATCTAAGAAAGGTTGGTACCAGCCGTGGTGGTGTTGCTGTGACAGACCCGACTATGTTCCGGGAGGATGGTGGAAGGACTTTGTAACTCTGAGCTGGAAGAGCCATTGAGTGTGGAGGGCCCAGCGGGCTGCTCTGTAGGAGAGTGGAAGGTAAGAACATTGAGAGTAGGGCAGAAGGTGGAGGCCTGGCTTGTGAGGCTTCAGAGGGAAGTTTAAAGAGTATCAGGGCTGTTTGCAGTGTTGATTTAGGATTTCTGATCAGCTGGGGCTGCAGAGTCAGCCATGATTAACAAGAGACCTGCACCACTGAAGTGAAGCCTTTGCGTTACTGGGACAGTTGATGTTGGCCAGCTGGAACTAAGAAATTAGCGGTGATCAAAGAGACCAGCATCACTGAGAAATCTGGGAAGTGTTTCCTGAGGGTCGGCTCATGGACCTGTGGTTCAAAGGCAGCCAGGGTTGTATCTTGCACTTGGTAGTGTAAGAGCTACCCAGCTGATACGAATTTTGAAGGCATGGAGGGTCATGGAGAGCTGCTGAGACTTGGTGCTGTGAGAGGCCAGGTGTCTTTGAAGGTGCAGCCTCAGTAGCTGTTGAAAGCCAGTACTGAAAGGGTCCTGCAAAAACACTGAGGCTTGGCACCGTGAGGAGGGCTCAGGAGAGGCTACCAATATCGTGCAACCCAGTTACAGCTGGAGACCGCAGCGTGTTTGTGAATTTGTCAGGCTGCGGGCCTTTATTAGGTTTGTAAAATATTTTACATTGTGATGTCTTTATTAAAGTTCAATCTTGGGGATAAACAAGAAAGGAAAGGTTGTGGCTTAACAGTGATGCATTTGTGTGTCAGACCGAGAAAGGGTCCGTTGTCTTGGCCAGTTTTATGTCAACTTGACACAAGCTGGGGTTATCAGAGAACAGGAATCCTCAACTGAGAAGACGCTGCCAGAAGACCTGGCTGTAGGCAAGCCTGGGGGCCATTTTCTTAATTAGTGATTGATGGGGGAGGGTTCAGTCCATTGTTGGTGTGGCTTACCCTGGTCTGAAGGTCCTGGCTTCTATAAGAAAGCAAATTGAGCAAGCCAGTAAGCAGCAGCCCTCCATGGTCTCTGCATCAGCTCCTGCCTCCAGCTTCCTGTCCTGTTTGAGTTCCTGGTCCTGACTTTCTTTGGTGATGACCAGTGATATGGAAGTGTAAACCCATTAATAAACCCTTCCACTGGGCGGTGGTGGCGCACACCTTTAATTCCAGCACTTGGGAGGCAGAGGCAGGAAGATCTCTGTGAGTTTGAGGCCAGCCTGGTCTACGAGAGCTAGTTCCAGGACAGGCTCCAAAGCCACAGAGAAACCCTGTCTCAAAAAAACCAATAAATAAATAAAAAACCCTTTCCTCTCCAAGTTGCCTTGGTCATGGTGTTTCATCACCTCTACAGTAACCCTAAGATAAAAGGTGTCATGCAGCCCAGGCTGGCCTTGAACTTGCTATAAAGCTGAGGATGACTTTGTGCTGATCCTCCAACATGCTGGGATGATAGGCGTATACCACCATGTTTGGTTTATCTGGTACAATGGATTGCACACAGGACTTTGTGTATTTGAGGCGAGCACTTTACCATACGGTAACTCGCACCAAATCCTCTTTCCTAGATATAAATAGGGCAGTGTCTAATGATCCAGACTGGTGCTGGTCCTGACTCTTCAGTCTCAAGAGAGGCTCGGAGCAAGGACCATCCATCCTCCAACCCCACCGTCCTGGATCAGCAGAGCTTCTGCATCAGCCAGACGTGAACAGCCCAGTCCCAAATACCCTTCCGAGACTTGGGGCATCTGTCTTATTTGTTCATAGGAACAATACTAGCTACTTTATGGGAGCAGGGCTTGCTTCATGGTAGAACTGGTTCTTAGCACATTGAAGGCCCCAGGTTCCACCCTCAGCACCAACATAATTAATGATAAGAATAAGAGCTTCCTCTGGGCATGGTGGCACGGGCCTTCAGACCCATCGTCAAAAGCTAGACACAGCTCTACAGAATGAGTTCCGTTCCAGGTCCGCCTGAGTTGAAAAGGATCAAGTTTGTTAGGCAGGTTCACCGTCCTGCACAGGATCCCAGAGAGGTAGGAAGTCATGGTAATTCTGAAAGAAGACAGAGTCTCATTAGATAACCTTGGCTGGTCTGGAACTCACAGATCTGCTTGCCTCTCCGCCTCCCTAGTGCTGGGATTAAAGACACGCTCAACCATGCCCAGCTACCTAATGTTCTGTTCTGTATTATTTTTTTTTGTTTTTAGAAACAGGGCTTCTTTGTGTCCCCCGCCATCCTGGAACTTTGTAGATCAGACTGGCCTAGAACTCAGAGATTTGCCTGCCTCTGCCTCGCAAGTGCTGGGATTAAAGGTGTGTGCCATCTGACTACCTAATGTTCTTAAAGGACCTTTGAGATTTCCAGGCTGTCTCTCTCATTCTTCTGGTTCCTTCTTGTGTGGTTGTCTGCATTAAATTCTTGGGTGCCTAGGATGGCAGGCATTCATCTAGAGATCTGGGTCTGTCAGGGTTTTCTTTTTTGGTTTTGTAGTTTTCTGAGTGACCCTGGTGGTGCTTCTGACGGTGTGCCTCTGCATCAAAAGAAGCCTTTAGTTTTAAACAGCACGAGCTGCTGCCTGGTTCAGAGGCACCTGCTACGCTGCCCCTGCAGGGCCCGCTGGACTGTGGGCGGGGCTGGAGAGGCAGCGCGGGAGGGAGTTAGGGGTAGGGGACCCGTTGTTTTTCCTGTTATCTGTAGAAAGGAAACAAAGTGGGAAGTGGAGTGTGCGGGTTGTCTGTGGGCGGGCTGTTCAGCCACGCGCCCCGCCTCCAGCTCACTCACTCGCGCCCAGCCTCGGGGCTGCCAGCTCCGAGGGGCTCAGCTGCTCTGCAGAGGGACCGGTAAGTGTTCTCCACGGGATGCTTTACAGAATACGAAGAAAGACCGGGTTGGGGGTGGTTCAGGCAGCGAGGGGCCGGCTCTCCCACGTGTCCCAACACGCACAGCCTGTGCGCCCTGACTTTGGGCGCCTTCTGGCGCCTGGCAAGCGGACGGTGGATCCCTTCCGAGCTTGTCTACCGGGACCTGGGCCTGAGGCTGTGCCAGCATCTCCCCTACGACTGTCCCTGACCGCCCCGATCAAGGGACCAAGGGCTTCCCGGCCCGATGGTGGTGTGCATGTTGCATTCTAAGTTTTGGGATAGTGCGGGCTCCCTGGTCTTGGTAGCAGTGAGGCTGAGCCCAAGCAGGGTCACCCAGGTATGGCCAAGCCAAGCGCGGGGACGGGGCATGTCAAGATCCTCTGCACCCAGGCTCTGCGATCCTCCCAGCCTCTTCACAGCGGGTCAGGGTTGCCTAGGGACAGACACTGAAGTTTCTGGACCCTCCTTCCCTCCTTCTTCCCTCCTTCTCCCCTCCGCTGGTGCCACCCCGCTGAGTTTTGGACCCAGCCAAGGGCGAGATCACTCTCCAGATCTGCGGCTGAGCAGGGGTTACGGCAGCAAAACCGCCTCCAGTTTTGCATTTCCGGACTTTTTTTTTTTTTTTTAAATACTCTTGCCGGTAAATCAGCCTGAATGGGGCTCTTTTTTTTTTTTTTTTTTTTTTCAAATTCAGTTTCCTGTTCTTATTTAGGCTTCCTTCTCTGCACCTCATCCTTAAGAGATAGTGGGGAATGGGATGGCCATTCGTGGGTCCCCAGCTAGAGGCGCTCGCTGCTAAGGTAGCTATGTACTTCCTAGCAGAGAGATGAAGACCCTGGGCAAGGAGAGACCCTGCAAGGGACTAATGGCTGGCAAGGACATGCACACTCTAGAGTGGAAGTGGAGGCTGGGGATGGAGTTTCCAATGTCACCGTGTGAAGGGCCCACACATTGGGGCCTCACCTAGCTCCCTTAAAACTCCCCCAGTTTGCAGATAGAATCCGAGGTTCTCTGAGCCGTTTCCATTGGGTTCAGACTCTGCCCAGAGCAGGGAACTGTCAGCTTGCAACCCTGCCAAGCTGTCCGTGGAGCTTCTGAACCAGTACTCAAAAAAGCTAATGCCTAAATGACCCCTGAGACTTGGGGCACAGTCTCACATATATGTGGGATGAGTGTGTCTTTGCGAGATGCGTGGGGTGGGGCAGGGGCGGGAATGTTTCCTGGTCAGGGAGTGACTCACTACTTCCAGAGGGATTTCAAAGTAAGGACCGAATCCCCGGGTTCTCATCCCTGACACCACCGGTTCCTGACAGTGCCCCTGGGTTCTTGGCAGTTTAATTCAACCATGGGGCTTTCCCCTACAAACTCAGCCGTTTTACATGCAAAAGCATGCCTGAGCAATCTGCTGCGGGCTTCATCCCTTCTCTGGCTGAGCTGCATTGTACGGATGCTCACTGAGATCAGTCAGGACTGGGGACTGTGCCAAGGCAGGTAGGGAAAGGACAGTCTTCTGGGGATGGGCCTGGGAGGGTCATCACAGGACAGGGGTCCACCAGGAGAGGAGCCAGAGTGGTTGTGGACGGTGAGGGGTTGCTTCCTGCTCGCTGTGTTTTTCTTCATCTGCACAGTAGGAGAGGGAAGTGAATGTATGAAGCAATTCCCCTTTGGCTGCTTTTTAAAAAAATTTTTTGTTTGTTTAGAGGGCAGTTCCCCAGCTTGTCTTTGTGGGTCCAGAGCCCCAGCAAAAGTTTCATTGAGTAGGAAACCTTCTGCCACTCCCCAGGGAACCCGCGTGCTTCTCAAGAGGGCTGATGTTAGGGCAGGTCCCTAAGACAAGTGCCCCTGGAGAATGGGCAAGGAGAGCCCTGTAGCAGGGCACGTGTTGCAGTGATGAATGACTAGCCGCCAGCCTGCAGGACACCAGGAGCCAGGCTTGTTTGGGCACTGAGAAAAGCACAAGCTTTGTTCTGGAAACTGTGCCTCTGAAGCAACGAAACAGCACACAGATCGCAGATCTGCGCATGGTCCTGCGTTCAGCCCTCAAACTGAATGGTCATTGAAGTGGCCCATGGAAATCCCCAGCCATCATATCAGAAATGCTGCCAGTTTCAAGGTGGAAAAAACATCAACCCCGGGAACCTCCCTGCTCTTTCTTTGCAGCCAAACACTACTGTGTGTGACTTTCTATATGGGGTACACCAAAATATGGCTCACTCTGGTCCCCCCCCCCCCAGCACTCAGCGATGTCCCTGGAGCCTAAGAAAGTTCCCCTTCCGGTTGAGTGTGCATGCAAGTCTTCAAAGCTTTGGGGATGGGTGAGGGTCAGGCTGCTGCTGGAGAGGGGTGCCTTAGAGGGGCTCCGGCTTCCTGTGCTGGGTGTGATCTGTGGTTGGTTGATGCATGTGGCAGCTCCCACCAGGAGCTCCAGGCAGTACTCCCAGTTGGGAAATTGCTTCCATTACAGAAAATGTGAGGGGGTAGGTAGAGAGCAATAGGGGTAGAGAAGAGAGGAGAGGCCAGAAACAGGGAGGGAGGGAGGGAGGGAGGGAGGGAGGAAGGGAGGGAGGGAGGGAGGGAGGAGAGAGCTGGGTTGGGGAACCTGCTTGTCAATTTAAGTCCTGTAGGGATGTTGTATTGGTTCAAGGGGCTGCTGTAACCAAGGAACAAAAGTGTTGTGCTTTCTACCGAATGGATTTTTGTTTGGAACCAGAAGTTTGAAGTCAAGGTTCCAGCAGGTCCGTGTCACTCTGTCCACGTGTGTCCATCCGTGTCGTCCTCCAAACCCCAGGGGAGACCTTGCTGCATCGGGCAGCCAGTGGTTCCAAGTGGCCCTCAGCTGTGACTCCCATTATTCCTGTCTCTGCCTCTGTCCTCCTATGGCCATCTCCTCCCATCTGTGTGGCTTTTTCTCTTGTTAGACTTGTCCCTGCCTAGGGCCACTCAGGTAATTCAGGAAGAAGTCATTTTTAGTCCTTAACTTATATATGCAAAGATCCTTTCTCAGTGGCTGGGGAGATAGTTCAGCAGAGCGTACTTTACCCGATTTGGAGCCAAAGAACCAGACTGACGCTTAGAAACAAACCAGACTGTGGTGGCGCATGCCTTTAATCCCAGCACTGGGGAGGCAGAAGCAGGTGGATCTCTGAGTTCGAGGCCAGCCTGGTCTACAGAGTGAGTTCCAGGACAGCCAGGGTTGCACAGAGAAACCCTGTCTCAAAAAAACAAAACAAACCAAACAAACTTGGTGTGTATGGCAGTCCGAACACTGGGAAGCCAAAGATAGGCAGCAGATCCTAGGGGTTTACTCATGAGCAAGCCGAACCAAGCTGGTGAGCCCTGCCAAGGAAAAAGGCTCCCCTGAGCTGGCAAGCTGACTCAGCAGGTAAAGGTCATGCTGCCCAAAGATGCCAGCGTGATGACCTGGAGACACGTGCAGGTAGAAGGAGAAGTTGTATTCTGGACCCCCACTTAATGTGCTGTGGCTCACCACCATACACACATAAAATAATCAAAATGAATTGGGTGCTGGAGAGGTGATGAAGAGAGCACTTGCTGCTCTGCAGAGGGCCGGGGTTTGGTTCCCAGCACCCACCATGGACAGCGCACACTCGGTAGCCTGTAAGTCCAGCTCCAGAGGATCCACGGTTCCTTCTGCCTCCACCACACCTGTACACACAGCATATACTCACATAACACATACATTTTTTATAAATAAATAAATTTGTTTTTCAAGATAGGGTCTCTCTGTGTAGCCCTGGCTGTCCTGAAACTCGCTCTGTAGACCAGGCTGGCCTTGAACTTGGAGATCTGCTGTCTCTGCCTCCCAAGTGCTGAGATGAAAGATGTGTGCCACCACAGCCTGGCAAAAAATTAAAAATCTTAATAATTTTCTCTTAAAACAGGGAGGCCAGTGCTGCTGAGGGACAGCACCGAGGTCATCGACTGGCTTCTCCCACATGCACACCCATACTTGTGTGCTTCCAAACATGAACATCTTTATCAATCAGAGGCAAGGTTTTAGGGTAAAGGCGCCCATGGCATAGCTTTGGGGGCCACCCCCAGTTCACGAGAGCAAAGGGGCTATTCTGTACATGTTTTCCAAGAAAGAAGCTGGTGTCTTCGTCCTCCCCCGTTCTGCTTCTTAAGCAGGGTAACCTTCGGCCCTATTTCAGTTTCCAGTGATCTCTGCTGAACAGCCGTGGCAAGCCTCCCTCCTGCTTCCCTTCCTCTCTGTCTCTCTGATCCGCAGCAGCCTTCTTGTCAGTTCTGCTGAGAGTGGAGGTCTAGGACCCGGGAGGAGTGGGTGCCCTTGCCTCCTCTCTTTCCTGCATCACCTTCTCCGCAGCTGCTGGCTGGGACCTTCTTTACAATCTGAGGTGGTGACAGGCAGGGTTTTTCTTTCTTTCTTTTTTTAATTTTTGTTTGTTGCTTTTTTTTTTTTTTTTTTGCCACTTGAGTCCCCATGTCCTTCTTGGGGACTGTAATTTGCCTGACAAAAGGATTTTATGAGATGGGGCTTGTGGTATTGGAAGGGACTTGGGGAGCCCCCATTACTGAAGCCTGCAGGAAGCAAGAGGGAGCATGATGGGTCATGGGCTCCTCAGGGGCCTTGGCAGCGCTGGGCCACTCTGTTGCCTTTGGTCTAGATGGGACATTGCTTTTCCTTGTTGTGGAAGCCAGAGCAGTGTTCTTCCTGGGAAGGGAGAGCAGAGCCATGTTGAAACATTGGGAAGGGAAGGGGGTGAAGATGGCCCAGTGGGCAGGGCAGGATTACCACACAATGGCAAAAGCGTTGTCTTCAGGGTCACAGCTGGCTTTTTTGTTTCAGTGTGGAACCCAGGGTCTTCTGTGAGACAAGCTTCCTAGAGGAGCAACCCTACCCCAGAAGTTTTAGCCTCAGCCACACACACAAAAAAAAAAAAAAAAAAAAAAAAGCCAGAAGCGATTTTTTATTTTGTACACACCTTGGTTTCAGCCCT